GAGGGGGGACTGGGGCCCTCTGGGAGCTACAGACCCAACAGGAGCACCCAGCTGCCCTCTGAAGCAGGTAGTGACGTTTCCAATTCCTAAACTCAAGGTGTGTCCTCAATGGTTCTGAACTTTCTAAGGAAACTGTGGTTACTGGTAGCTGACTTAATCATTGGAAATCTTTTCACAGAAAATCATGGACCACTGAAACTGGAAAAAGCTTTGTTTTTCATGCAAAAATAGTCCTCATTTCAACTACCCATTTTTTCTTTTGTTTTCTCTTTCCGTCCTCTTTAAAAAATATCAACAAGTTACTTTTAAAAGAAAAAAAGTCTTGATATATAGAAGATGATAGAAGTCAAGTGAATAACTTTATTTTATTTTAATGAACAAACACAATGACACTATAAACAAAATTTCAGTCCTTGAGAAGCTCAAGAACTCTACCTTGGGTCACCCAGCTGCTAGGAATAAATAATGAAACTAGCATCCAAGTCATCTGACTCCTCAGCCAGTTCTACCATGTAAAGATAAGAGAACTGATAGATAAAATTCCAGGAGCACCTTGGTGGCTCAGTCAGTTAAGAATCTGACTTGTTTTTTGGCTCAGGTCATGATTTCATAGGTCATGAGATCAAGCCCCGTGGCGGGCTTGGCACTCAGCTGCAAGTCTGCTTGAGATTCTCTCTGTCCCTTTCCCTCTGTCCCTCCCCTCACCCACATGTGCAGGCTGAGTAGGGAGCCTGATGGAGGGCTCAATCCCAGGACCCTGGGATCATGACCTGAGCCCCTGAGCCAAAGGCATATGCTTAACCAACTGAGCTACCCAGGTGCCCCACAGAGGTATCCTATCTTCTTAAAATACCACCAAGTAGACAAAAGTATTCCAAAATGAAGGAAGTATCCCCAAAAGGGAACACACTTGTGTTACCTGCTCTTTGGGGAGAAATACCCACGCTGTGGGATCCCTGCACTATGGGGCAACATTACAGGGTTGCAATCAACAGGCCTAGCACATCTTTCAGGAGCGAGCTGACAGACTTGGTGTCAACGAGGGGTTGTCGTTGAAGCTTTGATTCTATCCAGCCTGATGTTCCAATTTTAGTTACACTTCATTTAGGTTCATTTGCAAAGTGGCACCAAAAAAAAAAAAACAGAGGATGGAAGTTAACCATATGCTGAAATTTTCCTTTCACACTTGGGAGCACAGCAAATGCACTTTTTCAGGCTTATGAAGTAACCCTCCAGCATCATTGATTTTCGAGTCTTACAAAAGCTCCCCATATTGTGCCTTCACCACAGCCTTACGCTGCTATAACTCCTGTCAGACATCATCTTAGCTTTATGAATAAATAAAACTATGCTCTGGGGAAACATTGATTTAAGAGGAAAAATCAATACCCATCTAGCACGTGATAGACTTGAGCTTTAAGGCTACTTATCCCCAAAGTACAATGCAATAACTGAGTATAAAACCATACCTTTTGCACCCTAATAAAACGTAAGCGAGGGTAGGGGAAATTGGCAGGCAAATGCTTGCCTGTCATAGTTCCTTGTATCAGGATTTCCCTTTTCCTTTACGAAGTAGTTAGCAGATACTTCCAGAAGGGAGGAGGTAGGGAAGGAGAAAAAAGAGATGGATGAACCAATGGTACCAAAATCTTGATAGTGTGTGACTATGGATTGTGATTATATGAGAATTCACTGTATTATTAATTCTCCTATGTATGCAAGATTTCACATAAGAACATGAAAAGTATTTATGTTTGCTTGGAGAAAACTCTACAAAGCTGACAGCAGCCAAGATGCTGATAATGGTTCTCTTTGGCTAAGAGCCTCCCGTGGAAGCTTTTCTCCTTCCTAGGGAGTTCTGCATTTTCCAGTTTTCTGTAGTGAATATGTATCTTGCTTTTATAACTCAGAACACACACACACAATAACTGTAGCTAAGGACAGCAAAAAAAGAAAAAGATTAGAGAGACTGCCAAGGATTTGGTTGACTACTGGCCCAGAGAAAGCCAAGATTCACGACGTAACACATACTTTTATATTCAGCTCTTTCTTACTGCTCTTGGACATTTTTCAGGGCAGAAGCAGGTTGCTATTAAAATTGACTGGTTTTAAAAATAAAGCTAATAGCTACTGCTGCAATTAACCTCATCTTTGTGAGCCAAAGATGAAACAAGAGATAAAAGCTGGCTAAAGTCACTATTTCCTCAGCCCTGCTCTCACCCGACAAGCTAAACCTATTTTCACAGTGGAGACAGTTGTTCAAAGTCCTGACAGGCTTGTGGTAACCTCTGATTACAAAGCCAAGGCTTTTGTCTTCCTGCTCACAATTGGTTGGAATTAAAAATGAATTCCATTCTTTTTTCTCTAGCTCCTCAAAGATCCAGTCTATTGCTAACTGTGTTAACTGCAGTCTCTCAAGAAACACACTCATGTTGATTTGGATTAGGGCTCATGTCTCACCAAACAGTTACTGATGTTGTTCCTTCTCATTGCTTGTCTTTCTGATACATGGGAAGAACAAGTCTGGAAATTTAAAGCACTTTTTCCAAGTCAAAGGTGCATTAGAGGCCTGGAAATAGGTTGGGGTAATCTAAATTTTGAACCTCAAATTTAAGCACAGTGATGATGATGACTACTGTCATCACCCAAGCTGGTGAGGATATTGGCTGAATCTACTTCTAAGTTGGAAATGACACACAATTAAAATTCCAAAAGTATCTACAGGAGGGTCAGACATATATAAGTGGATAATTAAATACAGCACCATCAGAGACACAACTTAAGCACTGTGGAGGCCGAGTTATATCGGGGGATCAGGAGGGCTTCTCACAGGACATGGAAACTGAGGTGGATCTGGAAGGGTGCACTGGAATTTATCAAGGAAAAAAGGGGCAAGGGCATTCTCAGAAGTGAGAACAGCACGCACAAAGGCACGTGTGCCTGAAAGCCCACTGTGTGTTGGAATGTCCTGAGAAATTCGGTCTAAATGAAGCAGCGATGCTGAAGTGGGGAGAGGCAAGCAGTGCACGAGAAGGGTGCACAGAGCCAGTCGTGGAGTCCACACCAAAGTGTCTGGATCTATCCTCAAGGTTAAAGGGTGTACAGAAGTCACTGAGCAGGAAGCCACGTTCTAAATCGGGGAGCAAGGGACCTAAAATTGGTAGAGTTTTGGAAGAGACTTACGTTAGTTCTAGCAACAGACTGAAGCCTAGTCCTGAGGGCCAGAGCTAATGTAGTGATGGTAGGAGACAGAGGAGAGACTGGGAAGATATTTACAGTGAACATTTGTAGCAGCTGGCAGTTAATATTTGGCCTCATCAAGCCCCAGTCACTGTTCTTGGAATTTTCGTATATGATCTTAAATCCAGAATCTGGTGTGCACTGGATGCAGAGGGTGAAGCAATGTCAGGTTGGAGATTTCTGGCTTAAGTCACAGGGTCGACAGTGATGCCGTTAATTGAGATATTGATTCCAGGAGAAGGAATCCGTTAGAAGCAGAAGGTGAGCAGGTGGGCAAGGGGAAAATGTTTCACTGAATCCAGTATTAATTTTGAGAGCTGCCTGGGATACACAAGTGAAGATAACCAAAACATTGGGGTCAGGAATTTGGCAGAGAGCACACTGGAAATTTGGCAGGGGAAAAAAAAAAAATCCTCGGTTAAATTTAAGCAATCGGCCATGAACAAGAAAAGGAGCACACAATACAATGGCTTTCCAAAAACTCAAGACTGTGATTCCACTACAGAAACATCTGAGACCTATTCTAGAATATATAGATTGCTGAGTTAAATCTTAATGCCCCCTAACTGGAAAATGTTTCATTTCAGGCCCACAAATAAAATGAGTAAGGCAAGCAGCTAGGGGAAATGGAAGTGCATTAGAGAAAATATTTAATCCCCAAATTGAGATTTTTGTCAAATGTTGGGAGATCAGAGTGAGGCATTTTTGGAGTGTGGATAATCAAAGCTCTTAATGCACTGATTCTTTAGGCTAAGTTAACTAACAAAAGGCAGGCTGTTTTCCAGAATCTGTAGTCATATTTAGAAAGACCTCAGAGGGTAATCAAAATGACCCCGAAATCACTCCCTGTTCTTGTAAGAGGAAAGGGTTACTCTGAAAGAGAAAGAAATTCTCAGCAACTTAAAAGAAAGATTTAATTAAAAGACAGTGGCCTATTTTACTGGATTCATTCTGTAAAGAGATCGGGAACATTCAAGCCAGATGTACGCCTTTCTTTCTAGCCCCACAGAGGAATTGCATAATGATGTATAATGGATAGGGGTCAGTCAGGTCACAGTGTTTGAGGTTTGTAAATCTTTTAAATGGGTGAACATAGCACTTTGCAGCCCAGGATTCATTATAAAAATTGATAATCAAGTAGTAAGCTAACTGCTATAATTAAATCTAAAATATCTTTGTGTTAACTTGTCCTTCACTTAGGTTGGATGATTTTTTTCTGGATTCGGCTCTATTCGAAAATGACCCAAAGTCATTAAGGAAATTTGATACAACTTTATCATTAGCATATATGAGATTCCTTACACCACTGAGAACAGTAAACACAGCCTCACAACTTCGATTGTGGTGGCAGTGACAGTGGGGAACACCACAGCATCCTATTAATCTCTCCAACAAACCCTTAAGACGGTAACAGCGATTATCCTTATCTCAAAGTTGAGTAGAAAGACCGAGAGGGTAGGCATTTTGCCCAGTCTCCCACTGGCATTAGAAGGCAGAGCCAGGGTTGTGCCTGTCACCAATAGGAAATGCCGCACTACAGGAAGCATAACCATTGATGTCTCACAGTCTCTACGGCAAAAACCCCTGGTGCTGAATTTGGAACTGCACAGGCTAACACTCCTGAGATTTTTCAGTTTCAAAGCTGTGTCTAAGTTCTACAGTGCAGAGCCCCCAAATAATCATATCGATTCCCATACAAAGTTAAGCTAAAAGCAAGCTTGAATAAGCGAGAACATAGAATATATCAGATACGTGAATACCTTGAAATCACTCCTTCCCGGCTCTGAAGTTACACCCAACTGCTGAAATAAGAGAACGGCCTCGTGTTTTCTGGAAGGGAAACACAAGAAGAAACAATTTCAAAACTCTGAACTAAAAGAACATTACAATAGCTAAGGGTAAAATGATCACCTTTTCATTTACTTATTAGGGTTCTGAACAATAAGAAAAGCAACCGACAATTCTTTAATTAACCTTTAGTATTTTAATACTATGAAAAAGAATGTTGAAAAACAACGTTTAAACCTTTCACTTAAAATATTCACAGACCTATATATTTATCTGAAATTTATGTATGCAGAAAAGTGTAAATGACATCACATGTGCTCCCAATGATGAATAATTATGCCCAGGAGGTTTTAGACACGTTGCTGCATTCTGCCTTTCTCTCCGCAGACGCGGACAGTGACTGTGGGTTAGCACTGCACACCTCACACAGAGACCTTCTGAGGTCTGCAAGATACCATGGGTTAAAACAAAAAGGGCTGCATGTCCCAGATGACGATGGCCTTTTTAAGAGAAAGATAGCTGGAATAAAGTGGTACAGAACAGTGTGATAATTATTACAATATATTTAGGCATATTATTTTATTTTCATCTTGAAACGTGCTATATATTTGTTAGCATCATTTCTTACCTTAAAATAAAAACTATATTACTTATAAAGATCATTTCCTCTAAGAGGAAGGGTGATGCTATTTTGAGGAATGTAATCTCAAATCTGAAATTTTGTTTTTGTTGACTATGGATCTAGGAAGGCAACTTAAAATATGTTAAGTGGAAGAAAAAGGCAGGGGTCATGAAAGAATGGCCCAATAACTAGACTGAATATTCTCAGAAACAGTATCCACTGATGTAAACCGATGCAAATATTTTTCCTTTTTGGTAGTGTAAAAGAGAAAAGAAAGCCATTTCTTACGAAAAAAATGAAATGCAAGTGAATGCTAGAAAGAACAAAAAATAGTAAAATCGACAATAAAGCAAGGTGGTGTTTGCTCTGTGAACTGCCATATCAGGCTCTCCAGGGGCCACAAAGAGCTCCCCAACCCCTACTGCACCTCATGGAGCCTCCACCCACATAGTCTAAGAGCCTGAATATAAGCTCCAAGAGGAAAAAGGGCAGTAAATGGCAGGGGAGAGTAACACATCAGGGAGGCAGGGAAAAGGTAAAGATCACATTTACCAAATTTCAACAAAGAAAGGCAACGGAAATTCTTTCCTCTTTGCCTTTTGCTGGGAAATTCCCCATTCTGAATCACCAAGCATTACAGTTCAGCCATATCATGGGTTTTGGTAGGTTTCCTGAAAATTTATCATTTATAGAGCCAGGAAGGTGCATTTCAATCTCTAATCAACTGCGTCAGAAACAAGTGTTGGGAGTAGCACCTGTTTAGAAGTGGAGAACTATTTTGAGATTCTGCTACCTCTGTCTAACAAGCCTTACTGATAAACCTCTGTGCTATCTCAAAGCGAAGAGGAGAAGGCCCAGTTCCAGAGACCAAGTTACCAATATACATGATACAGAGACACAGGTAACAACAGACATATGTCCAGGTTGTGAAGAGACCAGAGAAAAGAAAGTGAGGGCTCCATGCATAGGACTCTCCAAAGCTCTTCGGATGAAACCCAAGCCACCTGGCACGGTGTGACGAGCTCCCCATCATGGCACCTGCCACCATGCCCAGCACCCTAGCGGAGCCTCCACCTCATCTCCCTAAGCTCCCATCCACAGTTCTCCCTGCCTCTGCCACACTGTCGGTTTATTGCCTTTTTGAGAGGTCGAACAACTCCTCTAGAAATGAGTATCTAGTATCATTTGTTTTTCAGCTGTAAACGATTTGTAATGTGCTTATTCAGAGTAGGTGGATGCTGGTCCCTGTCAGGGGTGGTCCACCAACTTAGACCCACAGCCTGTCACATCCTTCTCAATCTTGCCTGTCTCTCTGTCTCTCTCTCTCTCTCTCTCTCTCTCTTTTTTTTTTTTTTTAAAGATTTTATTTGATAGAGACACGGAGAAAGAGGGAACACAAGCAGGGGGGCTGGGAGAGGAAGAAGCAGGTTCTCCTGAGCAGGGAGCCTGATGTGGGGCTCGATCCCAGGACCTTGGGATCATGACCTGTGCTGAAGGCAGACGCTTAACAACTGAGCCACCCAGACACCCCCCAATCTTTCCCGTCTCTTATTTAGAGTCCAGTAGAGAAGTAAACTACAAAAAGCAGTGCAAAGTACAGAGCACTGGAATGTGGGGCTGGGAAATTCTTTGTTCTGAAGTGTTGGTGTTCCTCCACCCCTCAGCTGTGACGACCAAAAAGGTCTCTGGACTTTGGCAACTGTCCCCTGAATGGCAAAATCACTTCCTAGCTGAGAATCACTGGTCTCAATGAAAGATGACTTATTAAAGCATAGTAATATTTTTATCTTAACTTCCATACTTTGCAGAAAGACAACAAATTGGATGAGGACCAGCAGGAATGGCACGGGTGAGGGAAAAGAGAGGGAGGAAAGCACATATATTGAGCACCCTCTGTATTCTCGGCCCTAATACAAAACACACTCTGCTTTGGCTTCCTAAATCAAAGCTTGCTCAAAAACTTGGGAGGCAAGGATCTATGCTGGAAATGTTATTAAAAGCAAAACTCTTCAGAATGAAATTAAAATAAATATTTCTAGAACTTTCCACACTGATATGCTTTTCTTCACTTGCAATGGACCAACTGCCTGCATTTCTCATCCTTGAGAATGGGCAGCACTACACAGTCCCATGGAGAGTGCCTCCATTTGTGGCTTCATAAGACATTTCCTCTACCAACTTAAAGCCACGTATGTGGTTGTTTTCATAAGCATAGGCCCAAACGGCATCATATGCATGGCCAAAAATATCCTCTTTCCTAAACGCACAACGAAGTAGGCATAGTTAGCCTGTGGAATTGTCGAATGCTTTCATTACAGCTCTCTGTCAGGTCCCAAGTGAAGACAGCATGCTCTGTGGCCCAGAACAGGAGGGTTGGTTAAAGGCTCACGGGACTATTGACCTCCTTGAGCGTGTTTACTGAGAGAGGACAGGAATTCTTGGACAGAACTGGATATTGGTCATTTTCCCTCCTGATCCCGGAAGAGCCTGGCAGGCTCAACAACCTCTAAGACGTTCAGCAGAGTCAGGTCCAAAGGGGTCCCCAAACAAGGGTCTCCCATAGCCTTGTCTGTTTAGAAAGGATGACAGTGGCTTTTTAAATATCTATGTTGATATGTTGTTTTGTTATAATTGGCTTTTTCAGATTCTCTTCAAATATAATCACATCTTCCACTCTAATACATCTAATATCTGTTCAAATGCTTTATTTAAGGATAGTTTCCATGTGTTGGACACTATTCCTGGTGGTGTTTCCATACTGACCAAGGCAGACAAAATTCCCAGCCCTCATGGGGTGTCCTGGTAGGGGATGGGAGACAAACCAGCCACCTGGCAAAACAGTTATGAGAATTACTGAACAACTGAAGCTAGTCTGGGGCATGGGTACAGTCATGCATGCCCTTCAACGTGACCATCATGGTGGCACCATTGGGAGACTCAGAGAATGCTCAGTGCTCCCATGGCTCCTGCAGAGGAGACCACAGACATGGGCCCACATGCAGACATGGGGGTGAACCCAACAGATGAATGTGAGAAGCAATTTTATCAGCTGAAAGTAAAGAGGGGAAAGAAAACGGTGAAGGTTTCACAGAAGAGCAGAAAGTAGGGCTGAGTCCTCTGGGAGAGGGGAAGTGTGAATGAATGGACAAGGAAATCAGCAGTCTTAGGGATCCACTGAGGTAAAAACAAGACCTATTAGTGCAGGGGTACGTGTCCCTCTGGCCACATCAGCAGCACAGATGCAGATGTGGATGGGTAGAGAGATGAAGTAAGCAGGTGAGTAAAATGAGGAAAGAGAGAAAGAAGCAAAGAACCTGAGGGTAGAGCAAAGGAATGTTTGGAGGGAATGGAGAGAGAGAATGGCATCTAAGCGGGGTAACAGCGAAAGGAGAACCCGCGGGAGTGACAGTGGAAATTAGCAGGATTAATGGACTGTAGGTCCTGGCAGAGCCCCAAAATGCCTGAAAGTAAGGTGTGGGGTACAACTGAACACAAAGAGGTGGTGACTGGAGAACAGGATGATTGGAGGGAGAGTGGGCTAAACCCTCACTATTCAAAGTGTGGTCCCCCGACCAGTAACAGCACCAGCATCTGGGGACCTGGGTGAAACGCAGACTTTCAGATCTACTGAATCCGAATCTACATTTACCAGGTGACTCATGTGCACACTAAATTTGAGGGAGAACTGGCTTACGTCTGAGCCTGACCAGAAGCCACAGGCACCAGATAAAAAGGAGCTACTGAATCAGTTTCTGAGGTTAGGGACTTCCCTGGGGTTCTGCTCCCCCCCCCCCCTTTAAACGGCTCGTTTTGGCTTCCTGGGTTTCCATCTAGCTGCCTCGTGCGTGCCCTTGCTCCGTCCTGCCCTGCAGCCTTACAATATTGCTGGCAGGCTTTAGATTCCATTTACCAAAGAATGCAGCCCCTCTGAGCGCCTCATTCACATTCCCGCCCTTGCTTTAAGCAAATGACATCCCCCTGCTGCCTGAGACCAGGTTCCAGCTAGCCCCCTCTGCTCTCACTGGCCTTCGAGGTAGCAAACTGATACTTAGCACCCTCCATCCAGCCTGAATAATTCCACATGTCTACGCAGACCCATTACTAGGCACTGATGCAAAATATACCGTATTGGCAAAACATATAATATGGCTTTTCAAAGCTCCAGCTTCCTGCTATTGTAATTACTCAGGATTTTGTGTCTCCTTTAAATATGAGCAGACTGCCTTCACTCTTTATAGTTAATTTCATAAAACAAAGAAAACAACAGCTGTACACGACACTGCAGGATGAAAGATGAGGTTGAGCCTAATTAATGTGGGCTCTGCTTCAATAACAGCTTTATTCCTGATAAACAGAGTGTGACATTTTCATTAACCCAGATACAAACTCCCATACAAACACTCACAGGTGAAATAATATA